ATTATCAACGAACATTGATCAATTATAGAAATTAATTATTATTGATTGTTTTTAAATACATGAATCCAGACAACACATTGTTCACTAAGCACTAAAGATGGTTAATGTAAAAAATTAATAAAATATATTTTAAAAAAGTTTAAAGCAAGTGGACAGTATGGTTTGTTAATGCAGTTATTACCATACTGCTTCTTAATTTAAAGATTGTCTTGGACTTACTGATATCTAAAATCTGCATTTTAACTTTCTGCAAAATAACAAACTTTAGTAGCCCTTGGCTATGTAGCTATAATATTGAGTTGTGAGAAAAGGTTTTATATAGAATTAAACTTTTAATGCTAACAATTAACATAGAAATTAATGCATTACTTTATTGTCTTGTGCTTTATTGTGCATATCAACATTATCCATTTACCTGAAACTGCTATGGTATGTTTGATGCACGCTCAGAATTTGCTATGAATGCAAAAATGCAAATGCTTGAGGCGTTCAGAAGCATACAATTAAAATCTCAGCTTCTAAAGGTGTATGAATGGCCACTCTTGTCTGCGTCTATTGTCATCATAATACCAACTTTGCCTTTGGCATATTTAATAAACTCTTTGATGTATTTCCTTTAGAGGGAAATAAGTTTATATATAATTAGCTTAATCCTCAGGAAAAAAATAATGCTACACAAAAAATGTCTTTTGTTTTTTGTTTTGTTTGGATGGTTGGTTTTATCACTATTGGCTTAGACACATATTTTATGTGGTTAACAACATTAACATATTGTTGGTTTTTATTAAGAACTTAATGCTAAATCAGATCAAGGTCTATCTTTTTCACAGTAATTAATCATATACCTATTTTTATTTTTAATATATTTTAATTACAATTTTGAGAAAAATATAAAATCAGAGAAAGGGAAGAGGAATAGTATGCAAATAGGTAAACAAAGATCTTATAGATCTTATAATTTTACATTGTATCAGTGTAAATAAAAGAATATTTTATATCATTTAAAAAGTCTGAAAATCTCTTTTAAACTGTAAGCAAAATAAAATGAAACTGAATATTTGCAATAAATATTCACAATCCCACAAATCATAGAATTGCAATAATTCTGTTTTTTGCTTCTTACACACACATAACTACATACACATTTGAAGTTTTTTGTGTGTGTGCTTATTATCACAAGCATAATCTGATACTAATTGGAGGATAGCAAATCTGAGTTTTAGGTAGAATTCTAAAAAAGGATTTATTGTCACTGTGCATATGGTGATACAGGTAATCTTTTGGAAAAATTGACTTTTCCTTTTGCAAAACAGAAGGACATACTTGAATAGTTTTGCCTAAGATACTTCCAAATAGTGAAGCCTAAAGATAAATATTATATATTTATCTATAAATAAACTTTAGGTTTTACATAGGAAAGCTAAAAGTATGGTTTACTTGTCTTTCATCAATGACCTTTGCTTTTTACAATGCCTTTCGTAGCCAAATTCAGACACCTTTTATGTATTGTGGTTCTTAATTTCATGTTTCTCAGCTGTTGAAGTGCTGTAGCTCTTTTATATTTCTTGGCTGCTGTATTGTTGTATTTGTAATACTTTCTTTTTAGAAATTGCTAACCACACCGTATTATTAAAAATTGTATTCTTTAATCTTGAAATACTGTTATATTACATTCATTTTATTACAAAGGTTTTTATGTTGCTTTAGTCATTTTGATTCCAAGCAGCTCACAAGAAGCAAAATACAGATACTATAATCATAACAAAATAAGCAAAATATCAAAAGCATAATTCTCATCACCATCAATCTCATTATGATTTAGAATATTGTGCTTCAGTTAAACTACAAATTTATTACATTAATCAAAATAATACTGTTTTGTAAGCCCATCTTGAAAACAAGGTTGTTTACTAGTGTTATGCAATGTAACAACAATGTTAAGGGATTTAATCACATGTAAAATTTCCCAAGGTGGTTAAATGACATGGTTGAGAAGGTTAATAGGAATTTTCTAGAAACTGTTTACTATTTATATATTTACATCACAGAGTTATAATTCAAACATAGTAAGATAAGCAATTGTTGTGAATTCAGTTTGCATTTAGAAAGTTTTTGATTATTATGTCTTTGCTGATATCTGTCTTGATAATTTATGTAAGAACCTCTTATAATGCTTCATATAGGAATTTATACTGGAATTATGTTTATTTAAAATCCCTGAATATTTTGCTACAGTAATTTGCTATAATGTGCAGGTAACTGTTCTACCATCTGAATTAATTTACTATCTTTTGAAGAGAATGGTTTATAAATTCATACATAAGTAGAGTAGAAGATGAGTTTGCCCTTTTTAGCTTTTATATATTTTTCCCAGGGAAGATTTTATCTTCCTCTGCTTCTGGACTTATTAATTTTATTAATTTAATACATTTTATTACATTTATTAATTTTAGTCTCCCATTCTAGAAAACAGGATATATGTCAAATTATTATAATGACTAACTTAAATTGTATGTTTGACAGTAATTTTCAAAAAGCAACTGTATTAGAGGTCTTTTATAGTTATATAATTAGTATGACTTTAAAATCTGAAAACGAAATAAACTCCTGCTTTATGGGGAAAATAAGGTGTAAACAGCAATAGTACATTTTGTACCATATTCTCAGCTACCAAATGATCTATACACAATGTGTTAATATTTTAGAAAGTCTTGTAGTCTTATAGTTCAAATTTGTAAGAAAGTTCATATATATATTTGTGATTTTAAGGACCCACTTCAATCCACATCTTAAGAAAGCAGAACTCTTGGAAACGGTTTCTTCCAATAGGAACTTTTATTAAAAGAAATTGATAGCAGGTAAGATAGACAGGATCTGAAGGATTCCCTTACAATTCGATGTTTTAAAGTGTCCCTAAGCAGCCCCCCACCCCGCAATTCTTCCAGGCGATTCAAACTGGCAGATTTCTAGGTGTTAAGTCCAGGAGAGGTAATATAAATCCGGCTCTGTTGGCACAATCATTCAACATCTCACACAGATCCCAGATGCTGCATCTTCCCCCCTCTCGCTGGCCAGTAAGGAGGAGAAGTTCAGAGGGGCATAGGATGAAAGGCAAATGGCTACATTGTTATGGTTAGCAGACCTAAAGCGAATCAACAAAAGGTTAATTTGCAGTGAATAGAGGAAGTGAAAGTAATAAAAAAACCCATGCATACCCCCCTCTCCTTTAGTAGTATGACAGGATCCAGGAGAGAGTAAGAATTGGTTTTATATCAGAGAAGATAGATAGAAATGAAATATAACTGGATTCTGACAAATGTGTATTTAAGGTAGATAAGCTAATGAATGGATGTTTTAAATATGAAGTTGGGTTGTTGCTAAACATAGTAAGAATTGGATATGAATTGAATTGAACTGAATAAGTAAAAGGCATGCAGATAAATGGATATTTTAACAAAAAGTTGAACATTGAGCAAGGATTAAGAGACAAAGATATGTGATGTCCTCTTGTATGTGCAAAAGTATGTTTAATACTTTTTTTACATTACAGGGTATTAAATGTGAGTTTGTGTGTATCATCTCATGTGACTGAGAACTCAGATGATTTGCTGCAAATCCTAGGTTGTTGCATCCAACCATTACAATTTAGACATAAATGAAAACCCATCTCTTCTACCTAATAATCAAACAAATATATGAATTTCTGTCCCATACTAAAAATGCTGAAAAGGATGCATACATTTAAAGTGTGCAGATGTGGGAAGATAGTGGATGGGATATTGTCTGCTATAAGCAATGAATGTACAAGACTGGTCCTCTCCCCACTTCGCTATATGATAATAAAATCGTAGGTAGAAACAGGAAAAGGGTAGAAATGAACTGAATGCAATGGGAATGGAATACTTAAGAAAACATAAAGAAGTGAGAATAAGTGCTCTATATGGATTGCATACAAAGTGAATGGCCATTGAGGTGTTTTGAATATATATGAATGAGGATCAAATCATATTAAAATATATGAAGGAAGAGTGAGAGGAAAGGGATACCTGAAAAAAATGTTATTGGATGAACTTTAGATCCTCAGAAAAAGAAAAGCACAAATTCAAGAAATAAAATACAATTTATATTTGTTGTATAGATGTGAAGAAAAGTATGAAAGGCTATAGTATATTAATGCAAATGAGGTCTAGGTAGATTTTTTTTCCCTTTTCTCTTATTTCCTGAGTCCAGGAAAGTTCTCAATTTGTATCAATATTTTCACCAATATCATTAATTGATTTTAGCCACTATCTGATCTGATGAATCTATTCTGATTTACTACATCATCTTAAACTGTATATTCACTGTAATAAAAAAATAGAACAAATATTGTGTCATTGAAGTGAACTTAAGTAACATCAAACAAAGGAAAACATTTCTAAAATACATCACTAGAATACATTGGGTACAGTACTTACTTACCATTGGGCAAATAGTCCTTATGAAGATTACCTCAGGAGTTATATTAACACAGGAACTTTTATTGCTAACAATAAGAGTAATTTTGGCAGAATTATCCAAATGATGAATATTCCTATGATCTGACCTAAACAATAAAACAGAATGATCATGCTTTTTGAAGGCAATGGTCATTATAGTCTTAAATATCTTGAGTTTATCAGGTGATAGTTCACAAGGTAGAAGGGCTGCTTCATAGAGTTCCAGCCCTTGTTAATATTCACATTAGAGAAAAGAGCATTAAATAGCCTTTTACCTTGATTTAAGTAGAAGTGAATCAGCCAGCAGTGCTGATGTAGTTACCTGTTTACCCTCTTTCTTTTTTAATATTGACACTAAGAACTTTGTGTCAGTGAGGCTCAAGGAATACAAAAATGTTTGACACTTATCAATTGGTTTATGTTGATATTTTCTTCTTACAGTATATATGTTTCATTATGAAATGTAATCATATTTTATATATTTATATATCTCATTGACTTTTTTTTCTTTCTGATTTTTAGGAACAGGCACTTTTGGGCGGGTTCACCTGGTGAGAGAGAAAGCTGCTAAATGCTACTTCGCATTGAAAGTAATGAGCATTCCAGATGTTATTCGGCTAAAACAAGAACAACATGTACACAATGAAAAATCTGTTTTGAAAGAAGTGAATCATCCATTTCTGATCAGATTGTAAGCTTCATCTGCTGAGTTCAATCGTGATCAGTTCTAGCAATCAAAATCTTTGGGTGACAAATTTCCAATTTTTTCCCCATATTCAACAGTATCTAGGAAGTCTATTGCAGAAGAAAAATGAAATATATACATTATAAACACTTTGTCTCCGTTTGCTTTTCCAAAAAGATGTGATGTATGATTTTACAGCATTGCTCAGGATAGATTGATTATCCTTCAAAGTACAGTAATTGTTATAGTTGTATATAATGTATATATTCAAGCATTTTTCATGGATAAATATGTGTGTGTGTATATATATGTCTTTCAGAAACATATATATGTGCACATATATATGTTTCTGAAAGACATCTTCCTTCTTTTTTGTGCATTCAGCTTGTTTTTTGACATAATTTTATCATGGCATTAGTCTTGATAGTATTATTCCTAGGAGAGGCTCAAAGGTTTTCCTGCCTGAAGAGAGAAGAAAGTTTTCTATGTCTCCAGTTTTAGCTCTGAAACAATTTTAAGAATTCTGAAAACATCTGAAGTGGTTAAATGGGTACTGCAGAACAAAAGTAGAATCTGTAAATCCATTTTTTTCCTCTTTTACAAGAAGAATGTCTATAGGATAATTCCACTTGTATAAATTTTGGATGGAAACCAAGAATGCCTTTTTTGATAGTTGACACTATGGTTATTCCTTTTTTAGATAAGGAATGAGTACATGAATGAAAGCTCATGTTTTCAATAAGCAAAATTACTCCCATTTTGAATATGTTCTCACAAATATAGCGGTTTTGTATAAGACTTGGCAGCTTTCTTCATTAGAAGGAAATAATTTAGAGATATTTTTAAGCTTCAGGGGAAAATGGTTACAGCACTCAGTATTTTAATAAAGTAATTGCTGATAAATGTGTTGTGTTGACAGTACACAAACTACAATTCCCTCTGATTGAAACTACAGGAAATCTGTTTCTCTATATGGCTCATTACTTTTTAAAAATATCTTGTGGTAATGGGTGGAGTAATGCATGTTACAGGAAATGTCAGAATTTCACAAGTTAAACTATAAACAGAGGAATTATAAGTACATATTGCAAAAGTAATTTCAACATAACAAGTTTATATCCTAATAAGATGAAACTGACAAAGAGAACAAAGAATAGCAAGCTCAATTAAAAATGCATTTTTGCCTACTAGTGATGATTCTGAGAAATAAACATGTAAAATTTATGGCAGAATTAATTTTTGTACAGGTTATATTTCTGAGTCCTCAACCATTTTTATTGCAAATTTTCAAGTATTAGTCAATTCATTGATAAGTGAATGAAGTGAAGAAATAGAACAGAAGTACACTGGGATAATAAATTTATTGGACTATTTCTAGCAGTGGCTTTATACTAATACAGGATCTGGCAAACTGGCCATTTGGATCTTGTCATCTCTGGTGATTAACTGTGTTGATCCAATGCTGAAACCTTGGATCTAAAAATTTCTAAAACCTATGGAGATATTTACTACTCCTGTCTACTCTATTTTTGTCCATATCTTTAGGCAAAATTAACCTTATTTTTTTGTCCTGAACATTTTCTGAAAATGTAATACTTTAAAGATGGAAACAATTATTGTTTTGCTTCTTTAATAAATATACAATGGGGTCTACCCAAGGACAACTTTGTGCAAACAAAAATCATGAAAAATATTTAGATTGAACCAAACCTGAAATCTCAAAATAGTACAGAATATTCTGAACTTTTCCTGGTAGAGAATGGACTTTATTTACCTGCCAGAGCTTTGCTTTTTTAATTGTTTTAATTGCATATATGGAATTGGGAAATCCTGCATCAAAAATAAAAGCAAAAATAATACAAAAAAATTCAGAAGGAAAAATTTAAAACATGTAACAAATTTATAAAAACATATGACAAAGATAAAACAAATGGGATATGGAAATCATGACCAATGGGTTGGAACTTGGTAGCATTCTTTTATGGATAACTTGCTCTCCTAAAAGAATATATAGTATTATGTTCCTGCTAAGATTATTTAGAAAGTGATGTAATGAATCTGTCCTCTATAGAAGAGTTGAACACTCTTCCTCATGATTATTTTTTATTATATCTTATGAAATTGAACTTCAGTTTTTTTTCCTTCAGCTGAAATTCTTATTCAGAGCTTCAATATTTAAATGTTTGTAAAGTATATTTTTTACTCATTTGTTTAATTGGGTTCTTTTTATCTAATCTCGTGCCTTGTTTGGAGAACAGATCACATTTTATGTCAAATTTATACAGCAATATTGAACATTCAAAGGGCTCACAAACCTTTAAGCAACACTATAAATATGCAGAGAATTTCATACAGGAAATGCATATCAATTTTTAATACATGTGGAGAAATTCGTGTACTTCATTTCATCTACCTCCTCAGCTTGGGAATTGTATCATTTATAGTAGGTTGTTTTGACTCACTCAGCAACTTTGTATTTCATTTAACTGTTCTTCCTTTGTTCACTGGTAATTATACTTCAACCTTGATTCAGAATCACAGAGATTCAGTAAATTAAGCATCTATTTTTGTAAATTAATCTTTAAAAGTTGCAATGATTATGTTTCTCTACTTGGCTTCTGACTTCCTTACTCCTTTGCCTGAAAGTGTGCAGAACTCCTTTTCAAGACCAAGCTGGGATGTTTCTGTCAACATTTAGTCATGTTATGAGTGGTTTTATTGGGGGCCCTGGAATAAAAAAAAGTATTTTAAGATTTCTAAGCCTCAGCAGTATTATATCTTAATTGATATGCAATAGTACATACTCAATTATTTAAGTGTCTATTTCAGGTTCTTAAATAATTATTGTCACTTTACTAACATGCTGATTTTTAAAAAAATTCTGAAAAAATGAATGTATTTTTATTATTACAGATACTGGACTAATCATGATGAACGATTTCTATATATGTTGATGGAATATGTACCTGGAGGTGAACTTTTTAGCTATCTACGCAATATGGGACGCTTTAATAACAGCACTGGACTATTTTACTCTGCAGAGATAATTTGTGCAATAGAATACCTCCATTCAAAAGAAATTGTTTACAGAGACTTAAAACCAGAAAATATTTTATTAGACAAAGAGGGGCATATCAAACTCACAGACTTTGGCTTTGCTAAAAAGCTTGTTGATAGGTAAGTTATTTGATGCTGACTTTGACTTTTTACTTTTTTCCAGGGAAAAAATGGGGAAATGAATACAGAAAATGAAATTTTTCATCAGACTAGCAGTATCAGACATACAATGATTCGTACTGTTTGTTTTAACCTTCCTAAATGATGATTCCTAGCACACATTAATTAATTGATTATATGCTGTCAAGTCAAATATTCCAAAGTTACACCCGTCACACTGTAACTGAGTCCATCTACCTTGCTGCTTTTGTTTCCTGTAGCACACATACATAATTAAAATATTCAAGCAATATTTTTCCAAGTGCAAATGCATAAAAGAAAAAAAAGCTTTACTAGTATAAAAATAGGATAAACAGAATTATATCAAAGCTTTTAATTTATTTAAATGACCTTCGAGAATTTTAATCATGCACCAAAACTTTTATGTTATAACAAAACAATGTAAAAAAAGCCAAACACCATGAAGACAGATAAACCTCCAGGTGGCCTCAATGATTCTCTAAAAGAATACAAATGACCAGCTGCCTGCAAGGAGTATAAATCCTTCCATTCCCCACCTTCCAGTCAGAACTTGAAGAAGCTTTAGAACAGCGGTTCTCAACGTTTGTGTGACGGCGACCCCCGCCACACAAACGTTCTGCGCATGCGCAGTGTGCATGGGGGCGGGGCCCCCGCGCGCGGCGCGCATGCGCGGTGGCGCCCCCCCAGAGGCGCGCCACCGCCCCCACGCGCGGCGCACCTGCGCGGTGGTGCCCCCCGGAGGCGCGGCGCGCCCCCGGAGGGGACAAAATGGCGGATCGCCGCATTTGGCGACCCCACAAAAGAGGTCGATCGACCCCAAATGGGGTCGCGACCCATAGGTTGAGAACCGCTGCTTTAGAAGCTTCTTGGATGAGAGGTGAAATGTCTTTAAAAAAGAACAAGAAAGTCTAGTTGCCTCGTAAAAAAGCATCTTCAGAACAACTACGACCTGGATGACTGAGAATCTTCATAGACAATTTGCTGTCCTATTTATGTGAAGATTCTATGGCTGAAGCTTAGCCGAGACAGATTATTATAAATCTGTACTTCAATTTTGATTATATTGCTTCTTTTTTATTGAACTTTATTTTTATTTATTTTTTTCATTTTGTTTGTTTTACAGTGTAACTTTTATCCAATTAATATTGTTCCTAAATAGTAAGTTGCTTTGTTTTACAGTGTAACTTTTATCCAATTAATATTGTTCCTAAATAGTAAGTTGCTTAGCTTTGTGTGGAAAAATCTTGTTTGAAAGCAGTGCTTTTGAAACTTTAAGATGTGCTGGTTAGAGAATTGAGGTACATATATCTTACAGTTGTTTGAGAAACACTGTTCTGAGCACATATAATATAATTAAATGTTCAGAATTCAAAATTATATCTGATATAGGCTAGAAATGATGTTTCATATTCACTAAAAAGAGTCTTTTATGAAATAATTATGGATATTGTGATTAAACCTGTGCAAAAATAGATCAAGGTCTAAATTTTGTTACATTTTTTTAGGAATGATAAATAGGAAACAAATTTTGGTCTAATTTTTGTTCTTAAAATGTCTCAGAAGCTGGTCTTACTGCAACAGAAATTCTATGCTTTTTTAAAATGCTGAGTTATGGTTTCTGTTCAACTTCTTTGGAGTACCTCATTTTTAATATGAACTTTTAATTTTTTTTAATAGCGATGAGAAGTCCTTTAAGAATAAACTGTCTAGTGTCAATTTACTATTTTTTCCAGAACTAATGACAAGAGCATCTTTGTATTAGAAAGTGAAGAAATTAACAATCCCCCCCCCCCCCCAGGATGGGTCAAGATATGTGTGTGTATGTCAAGAAACCTGTATAGTAAGTTCAAGTTAGAGAATAAAACTGTTACAAATCCTTAAATATAAAACTAGATAGTCAATAATCAATAGAAATAGGCTATATCTTAAAGAACTAGAATTTATTATTTTTAATATGGAGAAAAGTTAAGAAAACAAAAGAATTGTTACTACTGAGCAAAAGGAACTAAGACTTCCGTCAAGTTGGTAGCCTTAAGCTGTGTTGTGTATGCCAAATGAGGCATACACAAAAGTTGTAAAATATAGTTTTAGGTTTTACAAGTTATCCAGTTCAGTTCTGAAACATTGAAGTCTTAAGATGTTTGAGACATTGTTATATACGATACAGTATTTATTGGCACTAATCATTTTATTGTCAGCCACAATTGGGCAGAGGTTTAAAAACAATAACAATGAACAGTACCTAGAAATGGTTGGCATGAATCCTTTGGATTGACTTTAACCAGCAGTATAGTGGTACCTTGGTGCTCAACTGCTTTGAAACTTATCAAATTTGGTATTCAATGCATTTTGATGTGAAAATTTTGTCCTGGTACTCATCATTTGTTTGGTACTCAACACACCATCTAAAAATTGTCAGTGTCAGCTGCCTTGTGACTTACTACATTATTCCTTATGGGGAAAAAATTGTTTGGTATTCATTGTTTTTGGTACTCATCGCACCTCCCAAACCAATTAAGAATGCGTACCAACACACCACTGTGGTTAAATAGCTATTTTCACATTAGCAGCAGGCAAACATATTTGAAGTAACTTCCCCTCTGTCTTTAACATTCCCTAGCAAAATGCAGCCATATGAAACCTGGTTCTGTACTATAAAATTAACTCCAGGATTCTCTGTAATATACATGAATGCTTCAGCAAAATAAATTATATGAAAAGTGTTCCTAGAAGGTAGAAAATGTTAAGATGATTGCTAAATTTGTGCCACTCAACCAAGATACACTATACATATATTTGCAATTTTATATATATTACGTGGATAGAGTAGGATCTCAGGAGCATGAAGAATGACAAGTTAGGGCTCTTACAATCACAATTTTTGACTTGTTAACAGCCATACAACAAATTTTGGACCTCGTGTAGTCATTGTGTAGGTTGTGAAGTCATAGGTAGCTGAATAGAATAGATTAACATTAATATATTTTCCATATTACCAAAATAATTTTAATTTTTTTTACATCCAATTTTGTGTTTGTTTTATATGACCAAGATTACATTCCATGAGTATTAACAGTATTCCATAATATCATTTATCTGTGGCAAAACTGGAGATTTGCTGTAATTCAGATTATATAAAGGAGAAATTCTTGTGTGACAAGAGAACTAACAAATAGCTTCTGACTGCATTCTTTATTATGAGGTCGAGGCCGCTGAAGTATCTTTCTATGCATTCTTACACTGTGTTAATAGCTGCTCTACAAAGGTTATCTGAAGTATTCATTCTCCCTAAATAGTCACTGCAGATTTCTGAATTGTCCTGAGGAGTGGAAGAGAATAAAGTGGGAAGATAAATGAGGAAAGAACATTTCATGCTTGATTCATGCTGTTGACATCCTGTAGCATCCATGTTTGTTTTTAAAGGATATGAATAAACATTGTTTAAAGAAGGCTTTCTATTATGTTTATGGAATGCCAGCCAGCAAATGTGCTCCAGGTTATGAATGAATTGACACACCTGGTCTCTCTTTCTGCAGGATGAATCATCATTTGCCAATATGATGTTTTCGAGCTGCTTTGCATACTACAGTTTTAATTATATGCATATTTTCTTGGGTATACACTCTATTAAATAGAAACCAATCCTAATATTGCTCGGTGAATTATTTACATGTGACCAACAGACTTAAGATTGTTGGTTGAAACACAGACTCAAATCCAACATAACATATAAAGGACTCATAATATATACAAAAAGTATGAATATTCCTTCAGAGTTGTCTTAGTCCAGTGGTTCTCAACCTTTTTAATGCCGCGACCCCCAACCGGTTGTAAGTCGAGGACTACTCAACTGGTCGTAAGTCGAGGACTACTCAACTGGTGCAGCACCGTTTGCAGAATGGGACTTTTGGCGGACTCAGCAGGGCAGAGACAGCCTGGACAATTCCTATTGGCTTTTTGAAAGCCAATAGAATTAGACTGTATTCATAGAGAGTCTATTCTATTGGCTTTCAAAAGCCAATAGAATAAAAGGGATTAGCACAGCTAAGGAAAAGGGGGGGAAATGGCAGACTGCGTTGTTTGGCGACCCCCATGAAATGGTCGTTCGACCCCAAATGGGGTCCCGACCCACAGGTTGAGAACCACTGTCTTAGTCTTTCATCTGTTCATATTGCCACTATCACGTGAAAGACTTTTTTCTGTGAGATATTAAGACAAACAACGATAGAATTAAAAAGCACAAAGGGAACCATATGGGAAGTGTAAGGACCCACCCCACTTTGCATCTTAAGAAGACAGAACTCTTGGAATAATTCTTCCAACAGGAATCCTTTATTAAGAAGAAGTGGTTGCAGGCATGCTAGACAGGACTTGGGGTCCAAGCTCTCCCATTCAAGGTTTTAAGGGGTTCCCCAGCAGTCCCACCCAATCACCCCCCCTTCCAGTGATAGTTTCAGGCATCACAATTCCACCCCCTTGCTCCTTTCTTTCGTCTGTATGGAGACTTCAGATAACTACATGAAAGGTAATTAGCTCTCTTTTGTGATGGTAAAGTTCTTTGATGCTATTTACATTCAAAGTCTCTCTTTGAAGTTGCAATAAACACATTCAGCTCCCTAGAAGTCTACTGAAGGAAGTGAGGGCCATAAAGCCCCTTTGTTCTCCCCCTTCTCTCCCTCTTATGGCAGAATCCAGAGAAGGCAGAATTGGGAGTTTCTATATTTGATAATTAAAGATGAAATATAATTGGATTCTGACATCCGGCCCCTCTTAACAATAAGAGAGATCCACCTGCAAGAAAACAAAACAGGTATAAAAGTTAGTTAGGCTTGTTGGGATACTCTGTGTGAAACTTCTTCAATAGCTTTGGGGCTCTGACATGACGTTTATGGACCCACTCGTTTTGTGAGGCAGGGAGGTGTTTCCAGGCAACTAGGTACTGAGTTGCTCCATGATATCTCCTAGAGTCAAGGACTTCC